GGCGAACCCGATACTGCCCGCGCCCAATCTTTAAGCGGTTTCGCCAGACATCGGAATCTGCCGCCGCGAGCGGATTTTCGCGCTGAACCCGCTCACGCCTAATAAGGAATCGCGTCCGACAACAACGGGCGGGCCCTGGGCCCCGGACCCAGAACGCAGCCGTCATTGCTTGGAACGGCGGGCGACGACGACGACGACGACGACGACGACGACGACGACCACGGCGACGTCGACGACGACGACGACGACGACGACGACCGCGACGACGACGACGACGACGACGACGACGACGAACACGACGACGACGGCGGCGACCACGGCGACCACGAGGACCACGACGAAGACGACATGCGCACTCGCCACATCGCAGGCTACTGCTTTGCTTTCGCTCCTCCGCCGAAACATCATCAGCATCCTAACTCGCATATAACTTCTAATCCTCCTGCTCCCCCCCCTCCTCGTTGTCCTCCTCATCCGCATCTCCCTGTGCTTTTCCCTCGCGTCCCCCCCCTAGCCTTCCTGGGGTAGCCGCGACAGACCGCGGCAGCCGTGCGGGCGCCATATTCTATGCGTCAGGGACCGCGGGCTCCTCATCCATCTGCCCGAGCGGCAGAGGTTGCCGACGCTGTGGGGCGATTGGGGCACGCCCAAACAGGTTCGACACCCACACAGCCAGGAAAGCAGTCATACTAAAATCAACAAGACGATCATCGCGAATGATCTGCAGACTGCGGGCGCTGCGGGGCTTGCACAGCCCGTGGGACCCGTGCAAAACATCGGCCCTGTTAGGGCCTGCGCGACCTGTGGGACCCGCGGGGCCTGCGGGGCCTGCGGGGCCCGAGAGACCCGCGGGGCCCGTGAGACTTGTGCGACCTGCGAGGCCTGAGGGGCCCGTGGAACAGACGAGACCAGCGGGGCCTGCGAGGCGCTGCCCAGCGAACCGCGCTGGCAATCCGGCGGGGGGCAAGCTCTATTGCGCGCGTTCACACGCGGAGCGCACTTCAGGTTGCTCGGCCGGCCCAGCGCGCAAACTCATGCACAGAACGCATTTCGCGCAAAGTTGGCGCGCCCCGGCGCGCCAACTTTACGATTCGGTTTTTGTCCGCGTTTCGCGCGCGATCATTACAACTCAAACAGTTCCACTCCACGGTCGACGCTTCCCGCCCCAGATTTTTTCACGCGCGAGACGCGGGGAAACCCGATCGTGAAGTGGGCGCGCCGGGGCACGCCACTTTACGCGAAGTGCGCCCCGCCTGCGATTTTACACACCAAACGTGCCACCGCCCGATCGTCAAGCTGGGCCCCTGGGCAACGGGAGGCGCGCCCCGTGTATGAATTTCCACGTTGAACCTGAACCCGCCCGCGCCCAGTCGTCAGGTGGTTTCGTCCGACATCGAAAATTCGCCGCAAAGCCTTCCCCCGCCCAATAGGGAGTTGCGCGTCCCGTATATGAGTACACACAATGGTCCTGAACCCGACCGCGCCCATTCGTTAAGTAGTTTCGCCAAGCGTCGAAAATTTGCCGCCACGGCGATTTTCCGCAGTGGATCCGCCCCCGCCCAATAGGGAGTTGCGTCCAGAACGGGCGGACCCTGGGCCCCAGGCCCAGAACGCAGCCGCCATGGCCAGGAACGGCGGGCGACGACGACGACGACCACGACGACGGCGACGACGACGACGACGACGACGACGACGACGACGACGACGACGACGACGACGACCGCGACGACGGCGACGACGACCACGACGACCACGACGACGACGGCGACCACAGCGACCACGACGACCACGACGAAGACGACACGCGTTCTCGCCACATTGTGGCCACTGCTTTGTTTTCGCTCCTCCGCCGAAACACCATCAGCATCCTCACTCGCCTCTTCCCTCCAATCCTCCTGATCCCCCCCTCTCCTCGTTTTCCTCCCCCTTCGCATCTCCAGGTGTTCTTCCCTCGCGCTCTCCCCCTAGCCTCACAGGGTAGCCACGACAGACCACGGCAGCCGTCCGGTTGCCGTTTTATGCATCAGGGACCGCGCGCTTCCCATTCCGTCTGCCCGAGCGGCATAGGTCGCCGACGCTATAAGGCAACTTCCGCCAGAAGGATTGCAGCACGCCCAAACAGGTTCGACATTCACACAGCCGGGGAAAACTATAACAAAATCAACACGACGATCATCGCGAATGATCTGCAGACGGCAACGCCCAAAGAGAATCATTAAGTGGCATTCGCCTTTCAATATTGGCAGCGTGCGCAGGCGTACACTATGGGCCAGGTCACTGACATGCCACACTTTGGCTTGCGCGTCGAATGGCAAGATTGGGATGCGGACGCCAATTAATGCCTGGGTGCTCTTCCAAGCTAATCCGTCACAGGGCCGCTGGCGTGGGCGGCTCCACGTTCTGCCTTGCGGTTTCATTCCCACCAGTCGGGTGGCTAACATGCAACGCGCAATGCAGACGAGACGTTTTTCCGTAACATTGACAGGCGGATGTCATTTGATGCGACGGGCCCCGCCTGGTCTAATTCAACATATTGTCGGTTGCCATAAATGTGCCACTTTTGTTATAAACTTTTTCCACGGGGGTGTATCTTCGCGCCCAGGGGGGGGGGCCTGGAAATCGGGGTGCAAAAGCGCCCCGGGCTCCTGCAAAAGCGGTAGGGGGCACGCACGTAGATCACCTTTGCGGCGCTGCAAGCATCTCTGAAATGTTTGCGGCGCCTGGGGGCGCGCGCCAATCCCGATGTCAACTGCAAACCACGTGCCCAATGTCGGAATGACTGCCGCCTGGCGGTATCCACATCGCAATATGCACCAAGGGCTTCCGCCAAGAAACTTCACTGGCAATACAGTTTCTAGCAGCCAAAACACAGTCCGCCACCGTGGAATGAGGAAACAGCCCTACGCGCCGCCACGCTGGTCGGGCAGGCTGTGCTGCCCCGCAGACGGGGAAGAGGAAGGGAGAAGCAGGCAGACGACGACGAAAGCGCAGGCGGGAGGCCAGGGCAAGCGCGGCGGGCGGGCAGGCGGACGCGGGGCCGGGCGGAGACAGCAGGCAGGGAGCAGGAGGAAACGAAAAGAAGGGAGGTAAGGAAGAGGAGGACGGGGGAAGCAACCACAAGCGGACAGGCCAGGCCAGGGGCTGAGAGAAGAGGGCCACCCGCGACGAAGCTACGGACCCTACGGCGGCGACACCGAACAAGCGGCGCAGGCGTAGCGGTGGAGTGGGCGGTGGGCGTCGGGGGGGGGAGGTCGTCGGGAATGGCCGCCGGGGTCGTTGGGGCGCGGCGCGGGGTGGCCGACCGAGCCCAGCACGCTGCGGCTTGGTGGGGAGAACCCTGGGAAGGGCCAGACGGCGTGCGTGAAAGGGGGTGGTGAGGAGCCGCCAGCGCGACGCTGGCGGAAGGACGCGGGGGGCGCCAGTGCTGCCCAGCAACGGCGGGGGGGCGGGGACGGAGAGCGCTAGGTAGCGCCAGGGATGCCTCACACGGCGTCCGTGGAGGCAGCCGTGGCCGCGACAAGACGGGCCGCTGCCACCCCCGCCCCTCCAGACTCCATCTGGACGCGCGCACCATCGCCCGCACGCTCTCCCTTTGCAGGGGGACGGAAAATCGGCCGGCGCGCTCGTCCGCAACCACTGCGGCGTCTTCCCCAGTGGCGTCAGCCACCCGCGTGGCTAAGACCCCGAAGCCCTGCGTGCCTCGCGGCCCACCCGCCGCCGTGGGCTTCCACCACCATGGTGAGGAAGGTGAAGCCCTGTCCGGCGCAAAGCCACACGGTGTCCTGGTGTTGCCTTTTGAACTCCTCGTACCGCCCCGTCGCCGAGCTCGACAAAACGGCCGACGCGGCGAGGAGATCGGTGCTCCAGCGACAACATCACCATCATCATCCGTTGCCTGACCTCCTTCTCCCCTGTTCTTCCTGCTCCTCCTCCTCCTCATCATCATCATCATCATTATCCTCCTTACGCCCCTGTCTCCTGCGAGTTGAACAACTGTGTTTGGGGGCACATCGTGCCAGGATCACCGCGCATTCGACGTTCGACGCATCCTGGACTCAAGACTTGTACTCAGTGAGGTTGGGATCTTCGCAACACTGGCTTTCATTACACTTGCTCTTCGGGCGCGACTGCCCCAGATGCTGCAGAAAAGCTGCAAGACGCCCTCGGCATGGCCCAACAAATGGCCTCAGCCCCATGACAGCCCAACAACGCCCCAAAGATCCTTGGTAGTACAATTGACCCGACCATGCTCTCAGCGGCACTCGGCTGAGTGTCTCTTCTCGACCATCTTCAATCCCAACTGGACCTCGCCTCAGATAGGGGGCCACATGTGAACCCTACCCCTACCCCCCACGATTTCGGAGGGGGAGGGGGGGGGCACTTCGTTCGGGAGCTCCCGAGCGAAGTGAACCCCACCCTCCCCCCCAGAGATCGTGGGGGGTAGGGGTAGGGTTCACATGTGGCCCCCTATCAGACTAAGCAATCGCATCACGGGCGAGCCTGCAGGCATGAGTATGCGTACATCTGCAGTCAGGTGTGCGACGCCGGCATGCGCACGTGAAAACATGCATGCCAACTGTCTGGCTGTGCGGCCGTGCGTGCGACCGCCCGTGCGCGCGTGCTCACCTGCGTTGGTGCCACAGCGCCTCCGTGTCTGCGTGCGCATGCTGCCTCCCATTACAGGCAGTCTTTAATACATGAGATTTTCAAAGATATCTGATTTTTAATGCATGATCCATGTATGAGTAAATTAATGTATCAACTCATCGTTGTTTTCAATACTAAATCCCTGCCTGCTTAATACATGATCCGCACGCGGAGCATGTATTAAAAACGGCACTGTATACCTCTGCTCGCTCAATTGCTACAGAATGTGTTCGGTGCAAGACCACGCGTGTGTGCACGCACGCACTTTTCACCTGCCGTCATACACACTCACCGGCCCATCATTCGAGAAAGGAGCATAATGGAAGTTAAGGTTCTAGGGTGCCGAGCCAAGCCTTCAGCTCGTACATGAAGATGCCTTTCTTGATACCGTAACTGCCTCGACAACCTTTCCAGAGATACTGGAACCTCAGGCAGCACAACGAGGAAAAACAGCTTGGTAAAAAGGTGACCCAGCGCTCACATATCCGCCACCGTGCCTCGAGGCACCAATTGGAATGTCCTCAGGCCCCACAGCCCAGAGTTCCAGGCGCGGCCGGCACTCCCAGGCTACCTTGGAACTTCTCGCATGACTTTTCCGGCGCCCAGAGGGCCTCAAGACGGGCCAAGAGGGCCATGAGAAGCCTCCAAGATGGTCCAAGAAGGCCCAGAGCCGCTGGAAGATCGCTCTGAGACGCCCAAGGTGCCCTTCAGAAGGCCCAAGAGGCCCTCAAGACGCCCCGAGATGCTAAAACTATTGATTTCCAATTTTTGTCGCCGGATTCTAGCGTTCTCGCTTCCGAGAGACCTGCCAAGATCCACGCAGGCATCCACGAGACCTACGAGCTGAAACCTAAGCACGGTGACGGGGTGGGCCGAAGGCCACTAGATCCCTGTTGGCTTGCCGCAGGGACAGGGCTGATCCTTTCGAAAATTTCTGAAAGACCTTCGGCCTAGTGAACCGGCACGGAATACAATACATGAGCTCTCCAGGTCGTCGGTCGTCCCGCTCCAGGCGGCCCCAACATGGCCTCCAGCACGGCCAAGGCAGCCGCCAAGACGGCCACGAGGGCCTAACGAGGGCCCCAGATGGCCCCAAGAGGTCTCCGAGACGGGCGGAGGTGACCCACAGATAGCCCAAGATGGCCCAAGACGGCCCACAAGGCGTCCAAGGTGCTCCCAGAGGCCTCCAAGAGAACCTCCAGGAAGGCCCGAAGAGGTGAAAATGATCGGCATTCCTGGGCGACTTTGGCTGGCCGATGGCTTGGCCGAGCTCTGGCCGAGCTCCGGCCGCAACGGTCGGCCACGTAAGCATTCCCAAAAACCAGGGGGCGGCGGTGATTCGCCGTAGGAGTTTTCGATCCACCGCCACCGCCGCCTGCGCTTGCCACAGAGGTGCACGGCGCGCAAGATGACCGAATGCTGTGTTTTTCTGAAAGGCTCCCCTTGGGTTCTCGGCCTGCTGTGGACAAGAAGCCTCCCATCGGCATTCCGCCTCATTGGGACCCGTATAATTCCCAGGTCGTCCGTATTCCTGCTCGAGACGGTCCCAAGATGGCCTCCAAGACGGCCAAGATGGTTTCGAAAACGGCTACGATGCCCCTAAGAGCCCAAGATGGTCCCAAGATGTCTCCAAGACGGGCTGAGATGCCCCCAAGATGGTCCAAGATGGCCTCAAAATCGCCCAAAACGGCCCAAGAGGCCTCCGAGACGGCTCAAGAGGCCTTCAAAGGGCCTCTGAGAGCAGTTCCAGGAAGGCCCGAAAACGCAAAAATCCGCCGACCCCTTGGGGTCTACGGCGTGTGAAATTGTTGCCCATCCCCAAACCCGTCCCCCAGGAGCTTCGCCTGGCCGGTTCAGAGATGGGGGGCCAGCCAAAGGTGTCGGCGGCCCCGACCACCCATTCGTCGCCCCGACCACCCATCGTCTTCGCATGAAGTTCCGACGCTGCTTCACGGTGAAGCCAAAGCCTCATGACTTCGCTCTTCCATGGCCCATTGTCCGAGAGAGGGGGGAGGCGGCAGGGGGCGAAGCCTTTACGGATTGACATGGCGCAAAAGTCACGCTGATCCATGGCGATGAAAGTGCAAGAAACTTGGTTCCGGCACGATTGCAACAGCTCAGACCATATCACTCCAATAGGTCTTTTCCCGCATTGAACAGAAATTCCCAACCATCCTGCGGTGTTGGGTCCTCGTTTTGAAGAGACCGCGCCACGCGCCCCCTTCCTGTTCCCAAACATCCTGTGGTGTTGGGTCCTCGTTTAGGAGAGACAGAGCCCCGCGTTCCTCCTCCTTGCCCCTCGTCGCCCCTCCTCCCCATCCTTGCCTCGGCCCCGCGCACCCAGGGCAGCGCTCCGTAGCCCTATAGGGAACTCCACCGAAGGCCCCGTGGTTGTGACCACATGCGCCCGCGCCACCCAGTACAGCGCTTCGAGGCCCCATAGAGAACTCCACCGAAGGCCCCTGTGGCTCTGACCACATGCGCCCGCGCCACCCAATACAGCGCTCCCTGGCCCCATGGGGAACTTCACCGGAGGACCCCCTGGCTGTGACCAGATGCGTTCGCGCCACCCAGTACAGCGCCTCGTGGCCCCATATGGAGCTCCACTGAAGGCCCCCGTGGCTGTGACCGCATGCGCCCGCGCCACCCAGTACAGCGCCTCGTGGCCCCATACGGAGCTCAACTGAAGTCCCCAGTGGTTCTGACCACACGCGAGCGCGAGACCCAGTACAGCGCTTCGAGGCCCCGTAGGGAGCTCCACCGAAGGCCCCCGTGGCTGTGACCACGTGCGCCGGCGCCACCTAGCACAGCGCTTCGTGGCCCCACAAGGAGCTCCACCGAAGGCACCAATGGCTCTGACCACATGCGTCCGCGACGCCCAGTACAGCGCTTGGTGGCCCTGTAGGGAACTCCACCGAAGGCCCCAGTGGCTGTAACCGCATGCGCCCGCGCCACCGAGTACAGCGCTTCGTGGCCCCATAGGGAGCTCCACCGAAGGCCCCTGTGGCTCTGACCACATGCGTCTCCACCGACCCATTTCGGCACGCCCCGCGCGCTTTGCGTGGCCTGCCCCTAGGGAGCTCCACCGAAAGCCTCGCGGCGGTGTGCACATGCTGCCCCCCGCTCATGCCGGCATACCCCTCACACGCCCCGTGGCCCCATAAGGAGCGTCGCCTCCGTCGTCCCTCCTGCCCTGCGGCACTGACAGATGCATATGGCTGGGTCCTTCGCCAGGATAATTGTTACTCTTCCCCCTCCTCCCTCCTCCTCTGAGTGCCTCTGCTCTCCGAGCGTGTACCAGTTCGGCACACCCCTCACACGCTTCACGGCCCCGGAGGGAGCTCCACCGAAGGGCCCGGTAGCGACATTCGCAGGCGTCCGCCCCACCCAGTACAGCGCTTCTGGGCCCCAAAGGGGGCTCCGCCGAAGTCCACAAATTCGACGTTCGCATGCGTCCGCCCCGCCCAATACAGCGTTTCGTCGCCCTACAGGGAGCTCCACCGAGGGCCGCACTAGCGACATTCGCATGCGTCCGCCTCACCAAGTACAGCGTGCCGTGGCCCTACAGGGAGCTCCACCGAGGGCCGCACTAGCGACGTTCGCATGCGTCCGCCTCACCAAGTACAGCGTGCCGTGGCCCCATAGGGGCTCCAAGGCAGGCCCCAGTTGCAACGTTCGCATGCGTTCGCCTCACCAAGTACAGCGTGCCGTGGCCCCACAGGGAGCCCAACCGAATGCCCCAGTGGCAACGTTCGCATGCGTCCGCCCCACCCAGTACAGCGCTTCGTGGCCCCACAGGGAGCCCAACCGAAGGCCTCAGTGGCGACGTTCGCACGCGCCCGTCCCGCCCAGTACAGAGCTTGGTGGCGCCATAAGGAGCTCCACCAAGGGCCACAGTGGCAACGTTGGCATACGTCCGCACCACCCAGTACAACGCTTCGTGGCCCCATGGCGTTGAAAGTGCAAGAAACTTGGTTCTGGCACGATTGCAACAGCTCAGACGATATTACTCCAATAGGTCTTTTCCCGCAGTGAACAGAAATTCCCAACCATCCTGCGGTGTTGGGTCCTCGTTTTGAAGAGACCGCGCCACGCGCCCCCCCTCCTGTTCCCAAACATCCTGTGGTGTTGGGTCCTCGTTTAGGAGAGACAGAGCCCCGCGTTCCTCCTCCTCGCCCCTCTTCGCCCCTCCTCCCCATCCTTGCCTCGGCCCCGCGCACCCAGGGCAGCGCTCAGTAGCCTTATAGGGAACTCTACCGAAGGCCCCGTGGTTGTGACCACATGTGCCCGCGCCACCCAGTACAGCGCTTCGTGGCCCCATGGAGAGCTCCACCGAAGGCACCTGTGGCGTCGTTCGCATGCGCCCACCCCACTCAGTACAGCGCTTCGTGGCCCCATACCGAGCCTCACCGAAGGCCCGAGCGGCGACGTTCGCACGCGCCTGCCCCACCCAGAACGGCTCTTCGTGGCCCTGCAGGGAGCTCGACCGAAGGCAACACTTGCGACGTTTGCACACGCGAGCGCGCCACCCAGTACAGCGCTTCGTGGCCCCATAGGGAGCTCGACCGAAGGCCCCAGTGGCGACGTTCGCATGCGTCCCCCCCGCCATTCCGGCACACACCTCACACGTTTCGTGGCCCCACGGGGAACTACACCGAAGGCCCCAGTGGCGACGTTCGCATGGCAGCCCCGCCACATGCCGGCACACCCCTCACACGCTTTGTGGCCCCAACAGGGTAGGGGTATACCAAGGCCCCAGTAGCAGTGCCCGCATGGTGGCCCCTCCCGATTTCGGCATACCCTTTACACGCTTCGTGGCCCCAGAAGAGGGTCCACCGAAGGCGATACCCACAACGGCGATACTCACAGGTTCATATGGTTGGGTCCTTCGCCCAGAGAATTGTTTCAGGGACGAGGGAACTCTGAGGGAGGGTTTATTGCAACATCGTTGATGCATGTTGGGTTTACACTGGTCCTTCTCCTCCTCCCCCTCCACCTCCTCCTTCTCCTCCTCCTCCTCCTCCGCCTATTCCTCCGCCTCCTCCTTTTTCCTGCCTCTCCTCCTCTTTTTTTGTCTCCCCCACGTGCTCCCCGCCGATAGTTTGGCCGAGCTCTGGCCGCAACGTTCGGCCACATAGGCGCTTCCAAAAGGCAGGCGGCGGCGGTGATTCGCCGTAGGCGTCTTCGATCCGCTGGCCCCCGTGCTTGTCTCAGGGGTGCAAGTGGTTCTGAACGCTTCACTGTCTTAAACCTTTACAAGGGTTCACAAATTGGCCGTCGGCTTGACCCGCCAGCCACCCGGAAAGACCCAGGCGACCCACAAAGGGGGCTTCCTCCGCCTCCAAGACGCCCAAGAAGGCCCCCAAGA